AACAACGACCTGGTGAATGGGTTTATTTGGTGAAACTGTTGGTATGTCATGATTGATAGTGGCAGTCTTAGACTCAACAGCTTTTCTGGTGGTTTTTGTATTAGCGTAATATAAAAATTTAAGACATATATAAAATTATATTTTAATATAAAAGATTAAATAAAAAATATTGAAAACTATAAGGTTAGTATATACTACTGTTGCAGATTTCTTGGAAATCAATTCTGCATCGGGAGTTGCAGTTGCAGATTTCATTTGAACAGGTATTTTGGTGGGTTTTGGAATAACCTACATAATTTAAAGTCCAACATGAAAAATCAGAAATTAGTACCAATTATATATATATATATATATATATATATATATATATATATATATATATATCAACGATGATCTGATAAGATGATAACATACTGGTGTTACAGGTTCTGAAGGTTCATTGGTTTTGAGACTAATAGGAGACGTTTCATTACTTTGTAGAATCTTCTCACTTGAAACACCCTAGAAAATATAAAGAAACAGGAAAAATGTGTTAAAATAATTCAATTAACAGCTAACATTGACAACATATATTTTCAATAAGATTACTTACAGTTGTATGAGACAGATTTGGAAAGTCAGCTCCTTTTGCATTAAGATGAACCAAAACTAGCTTTAGTGTTTGATCTTGTTCATTAACCTTTGTAGACAAAGCCTTGAGTTCAACATCTTTTTTCTCTAGCTCAAGTTTTCCATTATGCAGTGCAACTTTAAGATCCTTAACTTCTTCCTTAGATGACCCTTTGCTGTGAGGAACATTGAAATATCTGTTGTAAGTAACTCCCATGACGACACCCTTTAAAAATCCACCCTTTTCCTTGCCAAAAACTAAGGTCATGGCATCTGTTCCTAGTTCAACATTTACTTGTCCTTCTTTTATCTGCTTCTCATGGTCCATCTACCAAACAAAAAATTAATAATTATTGTCTTAATAACAATGATTAAAATATTTAAAGTAAAAGAAAAATACAACTGTAGTGAAGTTACTAGTCTATCAGCCATGATTTTAACATCTTCATCCTTAAATTCTCTTTTACTTTCACGCCCTTTACACCACATAACTGACCTTGGGGGCATTCCTCCTTTGAAATCACGTTCTCTTCAATCTTGATAAAAAAAAGTTAAATTTTAAAGAATATGAAACAAAAGCATGTTAAATAAAATGCTATGAAGTTAATATAGCTAAAGACCAAGCTTACGAACTTCCTCCTAAGAGTAGTATACCCCCCTCGTCCCATCCAATGAGCATACTTTGACATCTTTCTCGCTTTGATAGTCCTTTGCGACACATTCTGTGAAATAAAAGTAAAATTGTGACATCCCCAATTTCACGGCAAGAAAAGACTGATTTGTTTATGCTTTGTTTTTAAAATTAGGGTAATCATTTATAGAAAACTATTGCGGAATTTTTTCCCAAAACAAAATATGATAAGAATTTATCAAAGCATTTCTTAAAGAAATGTATTTTCATTATATAACAAAATCTTGGGATGTCATGTTCCGATACAGACACATAATCATAAACAGAACATACATTTATTTACATTAGTGATTTACATCTCCTTCAATCTCTCAGTGAAATATGTCTTCGTATTGATACATGTGATACAAATAAAACTGAGTGGGTCAGGCTTGGAGCCTGGTGGGCATATAGGGTTTTCATCCCACAATGTTATATCTTATATTTATATAAATAGAACATTCAAACTTATACAACTTCACCATATAAAGTCAACTCTTATCCCATCCCATCGATCCTCACAATGACACAATATAAACTCTCGTATCTAAATTTTTCCTCTTTACCTAATCCCTACTCACAAATCTAAAACTATCCTCTTCACCCGATCCATACTCGTGGATCTAAAACTAACCTTTTCACCTTATCCATACTCACGGATCTAAAACTAACCTTTTCCCCTAAACCATTCTCACGGACCTAAAACTACCTGATCCATACTCACGGATCTAAAACTAAGCACCTGATCTGATCCATACTCCCGGATCAATAATTGTACCCAATCCATACTCTCGGACTAGGGACAATTTACTTAGTCTTAATCCATATCTTATCCATACTCTTGGATCTATAACTGTGCCTAATCCATACTCCTAGACTAGGGACAATTAACTTAGTCTTAATCAATACTCCCAGACAAATAGCAAGTTTATCTCTTTACCTGATCCATACTCCCGTATCTAAAACTAACCTCTTGGTCTAATCCATACTCTCGGATCTAAAATAACCTCTTGATCTAATCCATACTCACGGATCTTATCTACCCATGTCCTACCCAACATATTTGTAGATATAAAATACATATACAGTTTGACTTATGTAACGCCCCGGTTATTTAAATAAAATAACAAACTAAAGTCACGGACTAAACTAAAAAAAAAAATTTAAGAGTCAAGGGCTAAAGTGTAAGTGTTGGATTCAAATTGAGAATTAATTATGGAGGAGGGGTTGTTTAGTAATTTTGGGCCTTATTATGAAAAGAATTTTAGAAGCTGAGGTCAAAAGAGTAATTATTGGATTAGATTTGAAAAGATGCTATGGGGAGTGGCTAGAACTGTAAATATGGGAAAGATGTATGTGGAGCCGGGTATAAAGCGTGACATCCGGCCAAACCCTAACCCTACGGCGGACCATTTATGCAGCCGCCATCATCGGAACTCCTCCGGCAGCTGCTCTCACCCCACCTCCCTTCCAGCCACCGCAATCCTTTCTCCCAGCCGCCACTACCCTTTGAGGCTCCTTCATCCGTAGCTGCTTCGCTGGGGATTGACGTCGTTCCAGCTCCACTACCGGAACCGATGTGTACAGTCGAGATGGCCGCCAAGATCGACGACCGAGCTAAAGATGTTGCTGCTAGAAAGCCTATCTGCCACCTCTACCTCCCTTCTCCTTCGTTGTTCTCAGTGAATCGACATTGTGTACGTCGAATGGTGTCGCAAGCAGCCCTGTGGTTGCTGTTTTGGGCCGCCGTCATTGTTGGTCGCCGTCTCTAGGGTTCCAGTTGTCGCCTGCCACCCGTAGTGGCTGAGTTGGAGATGTCTTGGTCTTCAGATCATGTTTTCGAGTGTGCACATACATCTACTTGATTGGGAGTCAAAAGGAACCGTCGCTGTCGTTTCTGCCTTTGTCCGCCACCACCAACCACCGTGGTAGATGGCTGTGGGTGTAGTTTTGGGTGTGTATTCATGTGTTATCACTATCCCGATAGTTATGATATTGTATGTGTTGTATGTAGTTTTGCTTAGTCGGAAAGTCGGGAATAGCCACCGCCACCACGAGCCACTGCCGGCCGCCATGGTGTGGCTGTGTGTGTGATTAGTTTAGTGTGTGTGTGTGTGTATGTGTGGGTATTGAGATTTAGCATTGTAAAATGTAATTTGATTTTTGGAATAATGAAAATGAAGTAAACCACCACCGTAAGGTGGTGGCCGCCGCCTCGAACCGCCATTGACCACCACTACCCGAGGTGGTAGTGGGTGGTGCCCCGCTAGCAAACCCTAATGGGCTTAGAGATTAGTTTTGGGTGTATTGGGTCATGTTTGGGTGGAAAACCCTAATTATGAGTATTGGGCCTTAGACTTATTGGACCCACTTTTGGGCTATTGAGATAGGATTATGTATTAAGCCCAATCACTCCATCTCATTTATCTAGTAGAGTAAAGAACTTAATAGACTAAGTCCTTAATGAGCTAATTGAGAAAATACTAATATTTGAGAGATTCAGCACACGCACAGGAATTATTTAATAAGTGAATATTAAATAATAATCATTGGCAGAAATTAATGTAAGCAATAATGGACTTAATGGATTAAGTCCTTAATGGATTAAGTCCCTAGTGTGTTAAGTCCTCAGTGGGTTAAGTAAGAAACACTTAACCCTAGTTATCATTTGATGTGAAACCCTAATTTCACTTGGGCTTTGTGTTGGGCCATCCGAGAATAATCAAATGGGCTAGACTAATTAGTTGGGCTTTAGGGTAATGCCCATACGAAGGATTGGGCCCAATTTGGAAAATTGGGCCATAGATGGGCCATAGTTGGAGCCTAGATGGTTGTAAGATATTGGGCCCTAGAATGATACATGTTGGACTGGACTGATCAATTGGGCCTTAAGGGATGTCCATGTAGAGGTTTGGGCCCAATTTGGAAAAATGGGCCATATGTTGGGCTTTGATCCCTAGTTGACTTTAGGCCTATGGATTGGGCCTTAGGTTTGGGTAAGCCAAGCTAGGAGTAATGTAGTAATTATCCAAAGCATGTATTTTTTTTAGTTATGTGTTAGAATCCAATTATTAATTGGGTGTTATTTGGTGTTGACAGTTCGGGAATCTGTCAGTCAGCAGTTGGGTTGGAGTCTGCGGGACTTCAACAGTGTGGGATTGTGTCTACGGGACTTCAGCAGTGTGAGGTGAGTTTCCTTCCAGTAGGAACGGGTCTAAGGTCACAATGCCGGACCGTTTAGTTAGCAGTAGTTCCGGACTTCAGTCTGATGCAGTAGTTAGAGTGCTTGATGTTTTTGTGATTTAAGCATGTTTGGTGTTATGTGTTCCAGAATATGTTCCGATGCAGTGTGCAGTATATGTATTCATGCTATTTGATATGTTTATGCTATGTTATGTTCAGTCATTTCTGGATTTCGGTCCGATGCAAGGGACAAGGTCTCAATCAGTTCCGGACTTCGGTCCGATGCAGTTAGTTCTGGACTTCGGTCCGATGCAGAGGGCAAGGCCCTGGTTAGTTCCGGACTCCGGTCCGATGCAGTTTCCGGACTTCGGTCTGATGTAGAGGGCAAGGCCCTGGTTAGTTTTCAGACTTCGGTCCGATGCAGTGGGCAAGGCCCAGTAGATGCTTTATATGTTATTGTATGGTATGTGGTAGTTAGGGGGAGCTCACTAAGCTTCGTGCTTACGGTTTTCAGTTTTGGTTTCAGGTACTCAGTTTTCAAAAGAAGAGCTCGGGAAGATTGCAGTGCACACACCATTTGTTCAGCCTGGGATGTTTATACTCTGATATATTTGACAGTTGTTAAGATATTTCGAGATACATTCTTTATGATTCTTATATGACGATTGATGAATATGGTTTTATTACTATTTTAAAACGAAATTTTCAGACTGTATTTTTGGGATGTTACAAGTTGGTATTAGAGCCTTGGTTTGATGGATTCGGGCGCACTCACGAGTGTGTCTGAACTCAAACTAAGGAAGTGGTATAAAGTTTTCAAGAGAAAAACCATGGTTACAAAAGAATTTTGAGAAACGAAAACAGTTTTAGAAAAAGTATAAGGAAAAGAGTTTTAGAAAAAGCAAAAAGAGTTTTGAAAAGAGAAAAAGGGTGTGGTGCATGTAATCAACCGAGCTTAAGTAGGTACTCCCAAATTACCTATACAAGTTTATGAACAATAGTTTCAGTTTCAGTTTTAGTTCCAGTTTCAGTTTCAGTTTCAGTAGAACAACATGCTAGTATAGGACTAAGGATATAGGAGGATGCCTTATGTGCCTGCTTATTGTGTTTCAGCTTGATAAGAATTTCATGCTAGTATTGAGTAGATAATAGTAGGATAGCCTGTGTAGGTTATGCCTGATAGTATGAGTTTAGCATTGTATGCTAGTACAGTTTCTTGTCATGAGAATAGTTTTGCCTGAGTATGTTTCCTTTATCCGAATGTTGCTTGCTTTGTTCTTTGTGGGACTCTAAGTGATGGAAGTTAGCCATTAGGTGAATACGTCACATCACATGTGATCAGGGTTGAATAATCTCAGAGTTTTAGATTTAGCCCTACTGCGCAGCTCTTGTTTGAGTCTAACCGTTGTAGGGACGAGACTTTTACTTGAAGGATTATCCGAGCCTCATTGCATGTGATGGTATTCAGGTGGTGGCTAATTGGCATTACAAGGAGGCCTTCAGCAGCTGAGGACTGGTTTGGGTAGAGTCAGAAGTTTCCTAGGGAAAGCCTAGGAAGGTAGTAGCAGAGATAAGTAGTAGTAGAGTAACTTGGTGGAGTCGAGGCAGTTCTTGAGGAAAGTACGGATAGATATGGAAGGTAGTATGGGCCCGTACTACTGAAAGCAGAGGATCCTTACTCGAATCAAGGAAGGTTGAGATGAATCCAGGGAACTTGTAGTGTGTGAGATCCCTCGAGATTGGGTGAGTATTGTGATGTTAGTGATGGCATGTTGCCGAGTATAGTGACGCTACGTGGTAGACCAAATGGTAGTTCTGGTGTCGATAGGGGATCAGGCTCGGACTCTGGAGCCAAACAGATTGATGATCAGATGAGAGAGTTCATT